GTATCTAGGATGGTGACAGGCTTGGGTCCATGACATGAGGATCAACTGAAAAAACTGCCAATTTAGCATGGCAACTGTGTGCAAGTATCTGAATGGCTGTCATGTGAAGGAGGAATTAAGACTTGTTCTGATTGGCTAGAGACCAAAAAAAAAATGAGTAGATATTGCAAAGAGACAAGTGTAAGCATAAAATCAGGAAATACTTACAATTCAAGCTACCTAAAAGTGGAACAGATTGCCTCAATAAGAGATAAGTCTCTCACCTCTTCGAAATCTTGAAGCAAAGGCTAGTTTTGCTGGGTATGTTACACTGATATTCCCTTTATTTATTAGTTGAACTAAATGACCAAAGAGGACCCTTCAAAACCTCAAAGTCTGTGCCGACATGAGATGAAGGCTATCTTATGGGAATGTTAAAGTGGGGAGGGGAGGAAGGGTATTGGGTTTTATTTTCCCCCTTGAGGGAGGGAGATGTGGGCATATTTATAGGTAGTAGGAAAGGAGCCAATGAGATAAGAGGATATAGCTGAAGTGGTCAACTCCTAGACCTGACAAGGGATAGGAACAAGGACAGAAGTAGGGGGATTAGTCTTAGCAAAAAGGGCTACCTCTTCCTCAGACACTAGATTCAATGAGAGGACAAGGAATGATAAAGAGGTTTTGACAGGCAAATTAGGGAATTATAGGAAGCTCATAATGAATGACCTTAATTTTCTGAGTAAACCAGGAGAGGTCACACACTGAGAGAATTTACAGGTAGTGTGGTATACTAAGTATAGTTTTGGAACAGCAGCTGTGAAGAATCAAACAGGAGGGAAAGATAATTACCATGTTCTAGTGAGGGTCCATTACATTTTTAGTGGAACCACGTGGTACAGCAGTGGTTTCCTCTAATATCATTCACCAGTAAGCAAGTGGAGAAGTTGGTGAAGTTAGTGGTGGAAGTTAACCCAATGCTGGTAGGTTGGTTGGTTTGTTTTTGTCATGTAATGACAGGTAAGACAGGTAATGGGATTGGGGGACAATAAATTTCAGTTTGAAAGACAGGGTTTAGTTAACTGTGATCAAAACAATGAAGAAAATAGAAAGGTCTGAGTAGGGATGATGGCTTCAGAGGAGGAGAATGATTGGTAATTTTAGTGTCTCGGTGTTGAAGAAGTAATGGGAAAATGGAAGAAGTAATGGTAGAAGGTTGAAATCAGTAATTTCAGAGTTCAAGTGATAATGAGATCAAGAACATGACCATCCATGAAGACAGATGCATGTGAGTGATGGTCATGGAATTTGAGGATAATTAACCAGGATGCCAAGGTGTTGGAGGGGATATCATTGTGTACACTTAAGTCCTCAAGTATGAGAGCAGGTATAGTGAAAGACTGGGGGGGTGGGGGAAGACGACTGTGGGGTATACACTAAATTCCTTGAGAGAGAGAGAAGGAAGAATGAATGGGGGGGGGGGGGGTAGGGAGTTCCCAAAGGCGAACAATAAGAGTAACTGGAGAGGACGATACAGTCCAACAGTTTCGAAATGTCAATGAGTAAAGAGTATACCTAAACCTCTTCTTGATACAGTGTATAAGGTGGCACCAGAGAAGGTTACAGGAACACAATGTCAACTAGAAGCCTAAAATAAAGTCCTCTCTTCTCTCCTCCCTCTCATCTCACATGCCTTCTTCGACTATCTGCTTCTTCACCCATCTAACATCAAGTGGTAGTGCCATTCTTGTTGGCAAGTACAAACCACTCTCAGTGCATAAGTGATCCCCATCTATTCTTTGTCCAGCATATTGACCTCTATATCATCCCTACCCTCTGACCTACTTTAATTTTCTCCTTGGCTTCTCTGCTGCCCATGTTTCCTCCATCCTCAAAAAACACTCACCTGATTCATCCATCTCCACTACCTATCACCTCACATATCTCCTTCTGGTTTATGGTTAAACTCTTGAAAAGGCAATCTACAATATATCCCTCTCAATTCCTTTCATCAAAGTGGCACAGTGGATAGAGTGCTGAACCAGGAGTCAAGAAGACTTCAAATCCAGCCTCAGCAACTTACATACATGTGTACTCTGGGCACTTCACATAATTTGTCTGCCTCAGTTTCTTCAAGTGTGAAATGGGGATAACAACAGCATCTACCTCTCAGGGTTGTTATGAGGATCAATATCTGTAAATCACTTACCACAATTCCTGACACATAGCAGGTGCTTAATAAATGCTTGTTTCCATTGTTCCTTCTTTTCTTCTCACTTTCTGAAGTCTGGCTTTCAAACCTCATCATTCACCTGAAACTGCTCTCTCCAAAGGTACTAATGATCTAATGATCAGATCCAATGCTCTATTCTCATCCTTCTTGACTTCTCAGCAGACTTTAACACTGTTTATCATTCTCTTTTCATTGATACTCTTTTCTCTCTAGTTTTCCATGACATTACTTTATGCTGGTCCTCCAATCCCTGTGACTGCCTAGCCCAAAGCTCTCTTCCACTGTCTCTACTAACCACCAAATGTTGTATCCTTCTAATAGAATGTAAGCTCCTTGATTGTTACTATGCCACTTGTGCTTTTATATCCCCAGCAACCAACCCAGGGCTTAACACATAGTAGGTTTTTAATGAATATTTAATAGACTAGAGGAGCTTTCCCCCTGCAGACCTACAAATTTGAATCACAGGGATTATGAGAAGATAAAGCAAAAATACAGTAGCCATAAAAACGGGAAGAGTTGACTGAATGTGGTTCCTATCTTCAAGAGCCCAGTGATATATAAGTATGGAATAGGTCTGCTACCTTTCAAACACAGGAAAAAGATAGGTTTCTCTGGGGCCTAAATAAAGTCACATTCAGCATGAGTTCTTTTCCTTCATTCCACAATGGCAGTGGATGATGCACTACCAAAAAATATACTCTCTATGCAACATGTGATTGATTCCTAGTTAGACTCACTGTTGGACTGAGTGAAGTCCTAACAACAATGTCTAGCAACTGACTGAGGTGGCTGGCAAGGTGTTGTAGCTTTTCTCAAATAATTCAGTGAACAGGATGGAAGATGTATCTTCCACATGTGGCAGCATGTCCCAGAACAAGATCACTAAATTTTGCCCTTTGGGGCTCAGTGTTAAGTAAAGATTAAAGCAGAGTCTCAACCTTTTGTGTCATGGATCCTTTTCTGGTAATTTGGTGAAACCATGGACCTCTTTTCAGATACTATTTTTACTGAAATATTTTTAAAAAAACAAATTCAGACTCCAGGTTAAGAACCCTTGGTTACAGCATAGTTCAAGAGAAACAAGGCAGAGTAGATACAGCTTTTGTAAAGCTCTGGAGTAAACAATCTTCCAAATTTTGTCCCTGAAAGAAGCTGGAGTTAGAGTCTAAATCTTGTAGGACTCTAGAAAGAGTCCTAGATAGAAAAATGAGTATATGAGGTTCTTGGGAAGGAGCTGTGGTCATAATGATCCCCCCCCCCCCCCCCCCCCCCCCCCCCCCCCCCCCGGTACTTTGGTTATTGTGGCGAATTAGAATGTAGTAGGTACAGCAGATTCCAAAGCAGTAGACTGACAGGGAGGTGGGAAGCAGGAAATGACAATAGGGAGAGAAAGGTGGGCCTCCAAACTCAATCCCTAAGTAATACAGAGCATCCTTCTTCACCATAAGTTTCTAATACCAGCGCAGCTGCAACTAATACCTCCTGTTTCCCTCCCTCTGGCCTATGGGGACGGTAGAAGAACCCATTCTCACCAGCACCCATGTTAATAAGCAGTAGGGTTCATCTGGTTAGTCATTTAGTAATACTAGATTCAAGACATAGTAAGTTTATTCAGTAAGCCCACAAACCATGCAGTTAGATGGTACAATGGATAAGAAAGCTGGGCCTGGATTCAAGAAAATCTGAGTTCAAATACAGCCTGAGACACTTATTAGCTGTGTCAGGGAACCTGTCTGCCTCAGTATCCTCAACTGTAAAGTGGAAATAATAATACCTGTTGTGAAAAACAAATGAGATAATATTTGCAGAAAGAGCTTAGCAGTATGGCTCATGCATAGTGGAAACTAAAGAAATACTTATTATTCCCTTCTCTCTTACCCCATGCCTTGAGTTTGCTTAGTAACTAGTCTATCCTGTGAAGCGGGGGGAGGGGGAAGGAAGGACCAAGCAATTATACAACTTCCCATAGTCCCAGAAAATAGATAATTAAATATAACTTTGTGACCCCACGGACCATACTGTCCATAGGGTTTTCTTGGCAAGGATACAGGAGAGGCTCACTTTATTTCTCTGGTGGATTAAGGCAAACAGAGGTTAAGTGACTAGCCCAAGGCCACACTGCTAAAAAATGTCTGAGGCCAGAGAGTACTGGCACATTAATCCCACAGCTTAATCCTACATAACTCCCAATATCTCAAGAACTGAATTGGTGACACTTTACTAATGGAGGAAACAAAAGGAAAAGTAGAAGCTAGAATTTAAGGCCTTATTTATCTCTCAAAAGTGTTTTTAAAGGCATATAAAGAAACATTACACAGAAGTCAATGGCAGTTAATTTAGAACTACAAATTTCGGTAGTATCTTATCTTCTAGAATCTCGGCAAAGGACTTAAAACAATACCAAGCGTGTTAAGCAGATAAACACTAATTATTCCCCAATTTCAAGGTCCGTGAGTTTTACTAGTCAATGAGCAGTGGAGAAGAAAAGTAAGAGATAATGGCCCAAGTTCCATTATCAAAATGCCAAAAACAATGAAAACTACCTAGATGAATGAGCCACTCCTTGTTAAGAACCACCTACAAACTTCAAACTCACAAAGGTTTCTTAAACGTTTTGACTGAATTACCAAAACAAACACTCTCAACTAAAAAGACAAAACACATTTCAGAGAAAATATGGTTTTACATATTAACCTATGCACACAAAATTTTAGTTTCTGATTTGTTAAGGTGGAGGGGGGGAGAAGTTTTTTTTTTTAAACTGCAATATATAATGCAAAAATCTCACCAAGTCCTCATATTTCCAGTCATGTTCATTGCCTTCCCAATCCAATCTCTTCGGCAACAACTAGAAAAAAAACAAACCGCACACATATTACTAAAACTTTGATTTGGGACAATATGGTCAAATGAGTCAAAAAGAGAAGGCACCACTCACAGGGCAAGAAATGGGGGAAGGGACACGCCAGAGTTGGGAGGGGGACGGGAGAGAGAGGAAGGATGGGAGAGAAGTACAGACCTGGTACTGCTCCAGTTCCTGCACCAGCACCTGCAACAAACCAGACACTCGGTTAAGAGATCGGCGGGGAGAGGAAAAAAATTTCAGGCAAGATCACTCTGCCACCGCCACCCCCCATGCAAAGAACTGGAGGAGATGCAGCTGACAATGCGATCGTCCGGCGCGGGGCAGGACGGAGGCGAGGGCTACCCCGCCGGCCCCCGTTACTCACCTGGGCTGCTCTCCGGCAAGGACCGGCGGACAGATACCGGGCGATGAGGAAATAGAGCTCTGCGGGAAGAAGGGAAAACAAGAGCTGAGCCGGGGCAGGGGCAGAGCGCGCCGGTTGGAGGTGGAACGGCAGGGAAAACGGTCGGCCCCGGGGAAAGGGACGCTAGAGAAGCCCACTGGGGAGCTCTGGTAGCTAGAGGAGTGAATGGGAACTCCCGCCTCCTCTTACCCGACTCAATGGGCGGCACGGGATGTCTGGAGGCCGAGTGTTCAGCCATGACCGAGCGGGGCAGCTGAGAAAGGGAAAGGACTGGCGTAGGCCGCGCCACGGCCTGAGATATTCACTTCAGGGTCCAGCCCTCCCCCTCTTCCTAACTCCGACTCTTTCCTGCAGCCATGTAGCGCAGCGACCTTACAGCGTCATGACGTATCCGACGACGACGACGTCGACGACGACGACGACGTCGCCGCTGCCGCAATCGACGCGGAATGAGAGAGAAAAAAAATAGTTCTATCTTTGAAGGACTTGGAAGAAAAAAAAAGTGACCAGACTCTCTACTAGGAAGTAAAAGTGACTTCCGCTTTAGGACTAAAAGTTCATTTCAGGGTGTTGAGAAAAGGTTTTCTCTTTAGCATTTTGCCCTGGGGAACGCAAGGGGCTGGGGAAGCGCAGTTGATTTGGGATCAGTGCGCGCGGTGAACCGACCCCCTCCTTGTTTTCAACTGTAGCTGACAGTGCCGTTGCACGGGCTGAGCCCGAACTGCCATGTAGGGTGTTTGGTGCGAATGCGGGGATTGGAATTTGGAGAGCGACGTTTCTGGAAGGTTTTCGAAGGGAGGCAGTTGCAAGTTTGGCCCTGGCCTTACGGAGCCCCCAGCTCCGGACAGTTGGTGGAATGAGCCGTGGGACTCAGTTTGCTGCCACGTGACTGACCCTCCCATCCCCTGACCTAGATGGGTACGGGGATTCAAATTGGAAAACCTGTCTGCATTGTGGAGAGAGCAATAGGTTTCCTGCCTTTTTTGGTGAGGGTCCCCAGGAGCCCTCCAGTCTTCGGGGTGAAGGCGTGTGAGGGGAAAGGCGGAGTGATTAAAGATCAGCCCACGAACCCGTTACCCAGACTTGATGATTGGCACGCCACATCCTGTAGTGTGTCTTGGGCTTTTTAGCCGTAGAAATCCGTGGATGCTGCCTGAATAGAAAAGACCGAGAAAACACCTGCTGCTAAGACAAGGTGCTTATTTTATTGTCAAAGCTAAAATTCAGTGGCAGTTCTTTAAAACTTAATAAGCCACTACGGTGAAAGATCCTGTAGATGGAAATGTTTTCTAAAGGGCGCTTGTCTTTTAGATGGAAAACAAAGAAAGTGCTTCACACTCGTAGAGTGTTTTAGAAATTACCTGTAAAAACGTTATTCATCCTTGTCAGTTTTTTTGTCAAAGTTTTCCTTCAGAAGCTACACTTACACTTTTGCATCCCTTCAATGATTTTACATAATTCAAAGGGAATTTTCCATAGATTTGTTGTATGTATATCGCTTATCCTTGATTTACAAATACTTATAATAAAAAGGTGACGAGAGAATTTGCATATCTGATTTACAAAGTTGTCACTATAGAACAAAGCTGTTGTCATTAGTATGTGCTATACTCCTGTGTAAGCTACCTTAAGGGAATGCTTAACTCACTGCTTAGATTTGGACCTGAAAATATTACAAAATTTAGATTATTTAAGAATAATAGAAATATATGGGATCAAGTGAAATAATTGTAAAGGGCTTAGCACATTGCCTGGCTCATATTATAAAGCACACGCTATGTAAATGTTAGCTATTATTATTTTGAAACCAGCCCAGACACTCAATTTGCAAGGTACAAATGAAACTAAGATTATGTGTTTGATTTCCACCTAGAGGTCAGTGGAATTTACTAACAATAACAACAACAACTTTTATTTTTACAAACAGTGTAATTTTACTACAGTGGAATTTACTGACAACAAATAACAAGAAGAACACGTTACCAAATAGGGTGCCCTCCAATTCAACAATCATTTATCGAGCTCCCTTCTACCACAGGAAAATGAATGTTAAAGGGCTGGCTTATGCAAAGAATATACAGGAGCAAAAAGCAAAGTAATTTGAGTGAATGGGAGGCACTGTGAACTGAAGAGATGAAAAAAGGCCCTCAGAGGAGATAATAACTAAACTGTGCTTTAAAGGAAACTACAGATTCTACAAAAGGAACATGGGAAGGAATAGTATGAAGAAGGAATGTCCAGGAATAGTATGAAGAAGGAATGCCCTGTAAGGGGAATAACCAGTGCTATTGGGCAGCTTGATAAATTGAAAAGAACACCAGATTTAGAAACAGAGGATCTGGGATCAAACCCCAGGTTTTATACTTAGTATTAGTGGGACATCAGGCAGATATTTTATCCATTCTTTCTAAAATTTCCTTCCAGTTCTAAATCTGTATTAAGTGTAGGACTTTGTTGGGGATCCCTTTCAGACCTAGGCTGTTCTAAGAAAAGGAAGTTAAGAACCAGAACAGAATATTAGAAATATAAATATATATATGTATATGTGTAAATGTGTATATATGTTGTATATACATATATAGTGATTACAAAACAAATACAAGGGTTATTGTGTAGCTCAGTTACTAAATCTTTCAAAGTAGATTGATTATCTTTACAATATTGTTGATACAGTATAAATTGTCCCCCTAGTTCTGATCACTTTGCAGGTCTTCCTAGGTTTTTCTGAAACCAGCCCCTCCAACATTTCTTAATAGCACAATAGTATTCCATCACATTCATTTACCATAACTTGTTCAGCCATTCCCCAGTTGATGGGCATCCCCTCAGTTTCCAATTCTGTGCTCCCTCAAAAAGAGCTGCTATAAACTTTTTTGTACATACGCATCCTTCTCTTTAATCCCTTTGGGGATTAAAAATCTACTAGCAGTCTAGGTTAAAGCGTAGTTTTTTGGGGTATAGTTCCAAATTGCTTTCCAGAAATGATTGGATTAGTTCACAACTACATCAGCAATGCATTAGTATATCTATTTTCCCACATCCCCTCTGGTAGTCATTTTCCTTTTTTGTCATCCAATTTGATGGGTGTGAGGTAGTACCTCAGAGTTATTTTTAATATACAAGAGAAATGGTAAAGAGCTTTCCAAGAAGATCAAGGATGAAACACCATTAGTATTTGATATAGTTGTAGAAATACACACTATAGCAATAAGAAAAATAAATTGAGAAAACAGGTAAAAGGTGATAAAGGCCTACAGCGGCTATATACGTAGGGAGAAGTGGACCTAAATGCGAAATGTGGAGAAAGAAAATTACTAAATTTGACAACTGATTGGCTCAGTGGGGTGAACAAGGAGGAGGAACTGAGAATGACATGGAGGCTGTGAACCGGGGAGACATGAATAGTGGTAGTCTCAAAAGAAATAAAGAAGAGGCCAAGGTTTGGGGGAAAAGATAATCAGTTCTGTTTGGGACATGTCTAGGTTCAGACATTCAGTTCCAGTCCAGCAAGAGATCATGATTTGGTACTGCAACTCAGGAAAGAGACCACAGCTGGACAAACAGATTTGGGAATCATTTGCCTAGAGATGATAATGATATTATGAGCTCACCAAGTAAGAAACCATAAAGAGAAAAAGGGAAAAGACTAAAGATAGCCACAAGGGATTACCTTCCATGAGTGGTTATAAATAACATAAATGAAAGTCCAGCAAAAGAGATTCATAAGGAGTAGACAAGAGGAGTACCAAAAACCTAGAGAGGAAAGTATCCAGGAGAAGATAATCCTTAGTGTCAAATGCTGTAAAAAAAGGTCAAGAAGGATGAGGATCAAGAAGCCATTAAATTCGGGGATAGAGATCATTGTAACTTTTAAACAGCAATTTCAGTTGAATAATGAAGTAAAAAAATAGGCTTAGAAGAAAGTTAGATGTGAGGAAGGCATTAATTGTAGACAATTTTTCAAGGAGCTTAGCTGAGAAGAGGACACATAATAGGACAATAGCTGGTGAGCATGTCAGGCACCCACTCTGCACCACTACTTAGCCCCTGACTTTTATGTTACTTAGAGTTTAGGCACAGGGCCTCCAAAAGGAGGAGACAGGGACCATCGGCTCAATACCATAGGAAGAGGGAAAGGCTCTCATTGAGGTTGCAAGCCCCCAGGGGAGGAGTAGGGTTTTGGCAGTAGTAAGAGCCACTGTCCCAGTACCCCAGAAGCTTGAAGATAGCTCTGATTCTGATTCTGGTCCCCAGAGGAGGGGAGAAATGTGATTACCCTAAGGCAAGAAGCTAGCCTTTCCTGGAGGGTAGGGGGTAGGGAGGGGTGGTCAATCCTAGTCCTGCAAGGGCCAACAAGATAGTTCTGACCTGATCTGGGTCCCTAAAGGAAAAGATTTGTGACTCATCCCCAGGGAATAAGCCATGGAATAACTCCAATCACAGTCTCCAGAGGCTAGATGATCTGAATCTGTACACCAGCAAAATCAGATCTTGAACAACCACTAAGCCAAGGAGAGATCCACGATTAATCCTCAGGGAAGAAGCAGGGCCTCATAATCCAGGTTCCTAGAGGGAAGGAGATCAAGAACTTAATCCTCTGTTGAGAAGTGGGGAACCATCTTCAGAGGAAGGGGGAATTTAGGATTTGACCTCCCAGGTGAGAAGTAAGACCTAAATTTGGTAGCTGTAATCCCAATTGCCAGAAGAAGGGGCATCTGATATTCCTTCCCTAACATGAAGGAAGATCTCAGGTTAGTCCATCTGCCAAGAGTGAATGAATGAAAAATATAAAAGGGCCGTTTTGAAACGTCCAGGTCATGTGAGCGACAAGATAGCAAACAAGACATCCAATCCCCATGACCTCACAAATTTCTCCAAAACAGAAATTGTGCACTAAAGATAAAGCAATTCCAGCTGTTTCCATGGTCTAAGACACCTGGAATTCAAAACCTGGGGGCAGCTAGGTGGTGAAGTAAATAAAGCACTGGCCCTGGAGTCAGGAGGACCTGAATTCAAATTTGACCTTAGACATTTGACACTTACTAGCTGGGCAAGTCACTTAACCCCATTGCCTAGCAAAAAACAACAAAAAACAAACAAAAAAACCCCTAGGAACTGATACTGAGCAATTTAGGATAAATCTAACTGAAAGATAAAAGAGAAACTATGTAGGTGAATGAATTTCTGGAAAAATTAGAGTTAAAGTACTTATGGTATCTTCTAAATGGGACAGCAAAAGAATATACATATTTCTTGGCACCACATGGAACTTTTATAAAAATTGACCATGTACTAGGGCACAAGAGATAATGCAAACCAATATAAAAAGGTAGAAATATTCAAGACAAAATTATTTTAATGAACAGAAATTGGTTCAAAAAAAACCAAACAAGATACAGATCCAAATGGAGACTAAACAAAGAAACTTTAAATAATGAGTGAGTCAAAGAAGAAATCATAGAAACAACTAATAATTCTGTAAAAGAAAAGATAAAAAAAACTATCCAAATGTCTGGGGTGCAGCTAAAGTATTTCTCAAGAGGAAAAAATCATATCTTTATAGTCATACAGTAACAAAATAGAAAAAGAGAAAATTAATGAATTGAATATACATTTTAAAAATTAGAAAATCAACTAAAATAACCACAAAGCCAAAGGTATTAAAAATAAGGGGGGGAAATAGATAAACTGTAAACAAAAGACTCCCCTAGAAATGATACATAAAACAAGACTAGTTCTTTGAAAAGACTAATAAAATTGATAAATCCTTAGATAATCTGATTAAAAATAAGAGGGAAGAAAATCAAATCAATAAGACAGCAAATGAGTAAGGTGAAATCACAGTAAAACCAGAAGAAATAAAAAGAATACTCAGAGTATGTTACAGACAGTTATATGCTGACAAAATTGAGAACACAAGAGAAATAGAGGAATACCTTCAAAAATTTAAAATACCCAGACTATCAGAAGACTCAGCAAAGGAAATAGATCTAGGTGTGAAGAAACTACCAAAGGAAAAAATATCGGGGCCTGATGGATTCACAGGAGAATTCTATCAAACTTTTAAAGAATGGTAAGTTGAAGAAGAACCTACTAGAATCCTTTCATGAGACTAATATAGTCTTAATACTTAAACCAGGAAAAGACAAAACACAGGGAAAAGTATAGGCCAATGTCATTAATGAATACTGACAAAAAATTTAAATCCTATCAAAATGATTACAGTGATTTATCCAAGAAATTGTTCATTATGATTAAGTGGGATTTATACCAAAGATTCAAGGATAGTTCAGTATTAGAGAAACAATCAATATAATTAATCATAAAAAAAACCTTTCCACACCACATGATCATCTCAATAGACACAGAAAAAGCCTTTGATAAAGCACAACACTCCTTTATGTGAAATATCCTACAAAATATAGGTATAGATGGACATTCTTTTAATATAAAAAGTTTCTCTCTTAAAAGCAAGTGTTACATGC